AGTCGCGCAGCGCCTCTGGAAGTTTTGTGACATTAAGCCGGTCATTAGTTCCCCTTACCACCCCCAGACGAATGGGCTCTGCGAACGTTTCAACGGTACATTGAAACAAATGCTCCGAACCTTCGCAGAGACCCACAAGGACTGGGAGAAGTTCCTGCCACACCTCCTCTTTGCTTACCGGGAGGTGCCGCAGGAATCCACTGGGTTCTCCCCATTTGAACTATTGTTTGGCCGCAGGGTACGAGGGCCTTTAGATTTGATCAGAGAGCATTGGGAGGGAGAACGGAGCACTGACGGTACCCCCATCATACCCTATGTGTTGGCATTCCGAGACCGCCTTGAGGCCTTAACTCAGACGGTACGCGAGAATTTGCAGGCGGCTCAGACACGCCAACGCACATGGTATGATCGGGGCGCCAGGGACCGTAGCTTTCAGGTCGGGCAGAAGGTGTTAATCTTAAAACCTGTCCGACACGATAAGCTGCAGGCCGCCTGGCAGGGCCCTTATAAGGTGGTGGAACAACGGTGTGACACCACTTATATAATCGGCTCGTGCGTTGGTACTGGGGGGCGACGCATGCTCCATGTGAACATGATGAAGCCCTACCAGGAGCGCTCGGAGGAAGTGACCGCTATATGTGCGCCTAACTCCGAAGAGTTTGACAGTTTACCTCTCCCGGATCTGCTGGGAGAGGGTCAGTTATCCGGGGACTTAGGGGAGGTCACCCTGGGGGATCGGTTGAGCCCACAGGAGCGGAGCGAGGTACAACAGCTGTTGAGGGAGAAGCAGGATATCTTCTCTAATGTACCTGGTTACACTCCTCTGGCCACTCACCGAGTAGACACCCCAGGGCAACTTCCCATGCGTCAGACCCCGTACCGCATCCCAGAAGCGGTACGGGCGAACATGCGCAAGGAGATAGATGAGATGCTCCAGCTGGGGGTGATTGAGCCCTCGGACAGCCCCTGGGCATCTCCGGTAGTACTAGTACCAAAGCGGGACGGCACGACCCGGTTTTGTGTAGACTACCGGAGATTAAATGAGAAGACGGTATCGGACGCCTATCCTATGCCCAGGATAGACGAACTCCTGGATCGGATGGCGAGGGGGCACTATCTCACCACAATTGACTTGTGTAAAGGGTATTGGCAAATACCCTTGGCACAAGACGCCATCCCTAAGTCGGCCTTTGTCACCCCATTCGGCTTGTACCAATTTAAGGTCATGCCGTTTGGGATGAAAAACGCCCCGGCTACTTTTCAGCGGATGGTGGACCGCCTCCTAGATGGGTTTCAGGATTATACCTGCGCATACCTCGACGATATTGCCATCTTCAGCAATACCTGGCAGGAACACCTGACCCATATAGGAGCGGTCCTAGATAGGATTAGGGCCGCTGGTTTAACGCTGAAACCAGCCAAATGCAGCATAGGAATGGCTGAAGTACAGTACCTAGGTCATCGGGTAGGATGCGGCAAGCAAAAGCCGGAACCAGCCAAAGTAGGGGCTGTAGCTCAATGGCCCACCCCTAGGACTAAGACCCAGGTGTTAGCGTTCTTAGGAACGGCCGGATACTACCGGAAATTTGTCCCGAATTACAGTGCCCTGGCCAAACCTCTCACCGACTTGACCCGTAAAAACCTACCCCGCCAAGTAACCTGGACCCCGGAGTGTGAACAGGCATTTCAGTTGTTAAAAGATGCATTGACAAATGCCCCTGTCTTGGCAGCTCCCAATCCAACTAAACGTTTTCTTGTCCACACAGACGCTTCTATGTTTGGATTGGGAGCAGTATTAAGCCAAGTCGGGGCCGATGGCGGAGAACATCCCGTGGCTTACATCAGCCGGAAACTGTTACCTCGAGAAGTAAGCTACGCCGCCATCGAGAAAGAATGCCTGGCTGTGGTGTGGGCCCTGAAGAAATTACAGCCATATTTGTACGGACAAGCTTTTTCCCTGCTCACGGATCACAACCCGTTAGTATGGCTAAACCGGGTGGCTGGGGACAATGCCCGGCTGCTGCGCTGGAGTCTGGCGCTGCAGCCCTTTGACTTTAATATCCAGTACCGCCCGGGTAAACAGAATGGAAATGCTGATGGGTTGTCTCGACAAACTGACCTAGAGAAATGATCCGTGGGCCTCCCCAAGCCGATCCGTGTTGGATCAGACTGTGTATGCCGGCTTGTGGGCAAGGGGGAGCAGTGTAGCAGATGGCACCAGGCGACCCTACAAGAAATACTGTATAAAGCTGCAGACGTGTATCTGCTGTAATTTCTGTGTATTTAAAAAGAATTGTATTCCTCTGATTGTTCGGTAGTTTCATTCCCTTAGTTTATTCGAATGAAACTACCGAACAACCAGTGTTGTGAAGTGTGTCCTCAATTACCAGTTGCAACATTGTTGCGAACGGGTAATTGAACAGTAAGTAGCCGTCCTTTGTTCTCGGGGGTGGCCGCCATTCGACAAACGAACACGTGGCGGCGGCCATTTAAAACTCCCGAACAGCGGTGTTTTGCCGTCGAGTGTCTGGAACTAAAATCGGACACTCGAGTAGGCGAACACCGCTGAGACCTCCACAGCCCTGGTCCGTTCGGTTCCAAACTACCGAACGGCCCCTCGTTCGGTAAATAGAAAATACCGAACGAGGGGATTCAGGCGAACCCTCCCTAGCCTCTATAGCTAGAGGCTTTCGTGTATTTTATTCCCTTATGCCAGGACCGACCGCAAGGCCCATTCACATGGAACCGAATTCGGCTATCTCTGTTCGTGCGGTCGGTCATTTTATTCCCTCCATACTTTTCCCGAACCCCTGGTCCGATCTGGGTGATTTTTGGATATGTTGTTCACCCAGATCAGGGCTATCAGGGGGTGTAGGATTTAAAGGGTACCCCTACGTTTAGGGGTACATCCAGAAACGGGGGGAATTGGTGTGCTGGATAAGGGGATTATGATGCTGGCTGAGGGGAGGGGATGTGTGGGAGGTTACCAGGACAGGATTGGCTACTGTAATAATTACTGTAAGTTCCTCCCTTGCATGGGAGCATGCTTTATAAGGAGACTGTGATTAAAGGCTTGTCAGTTATGCTCCTGAAACTGTGTGTCGTCCAGTTATTGGGATTGCTGTTGGGATATTGCTGTATTTTACCTGCTGGAAACCCTGCCTTTGGATTTACTATTTACTTGTTCCTGAGTCTCCCTTGGATTATAAGCGGAGATAACCTGGGTAATATTGCCTCTCCGCTACACAAACTGCCGTATATCATTGGCAAAAACACTAAAAACTTTCTTAACCTCTGAAACCTTATTGCAAGCCAAGTCATTTGTCCCTAGATGGACAAGTACATCCAATTCCCCTTCCTGCTTTGCTTGCTTAACAATATTACAAATACGTCTTCTGTCTCTGTGAGCAGTAGCTCCGGGAAGACACCTCACAAGACCACCATTGCCCATCTCCACACCTCTTATAATGGAATCCCCCAACAACAACTGCTTTCTATTAGGCCTCACCATAGTCTCCAAGCCGGTCTCCACAACACCACTAGTCTCAGTGCCTCTCTCCACAACACCACTAGCCTCAGTGCCTCTCTCCACAACACCACTAGCCTCAGTGCCTCTCTCCACAATACCACTAGCCTCAGTGCCTCTCTCCACAATACCACTAGCCTCAGTGCCTCTCTCCACAACACCACTAGCCTCAGTGCCTTTCTCCACAATACCACTAGCCTCAGTGCCTCTCTCCACAATACCACTAGCCTCAGTGCCTCTCTCCACAATACCACTAGTCTTAGTGCCTCTCTCCACAACACCACTAGCCTCAGTGCCTCTCTCCACAACAACACTAGCCTCAGTGCCTCTCTCCACAACACCATTACACTCTGAAAGTGCAGAAAATGAATTATGAAGAGCAACAGACTGTGCAAAATGCATTTTATCCACAACTCTAAGTCTACCAGATCCTACAGTAATCCATCTGCCATTCCTAGTATGTCTCTGCGGTAGTGGCTTTGCAGCAGTTCCAGTCAGAGTTTGTTCACCAGATAATTTACAAATCTCAGACTTCAAAAATACAATCTCCTGCCGCAAAATAGAAAACTGTCTACAGATTTGACAACAACCAAACCTCCAAAAAGTGGAACGTGAAACAAATGCATAGCAAT